TCTCATCATCTAGAACAAAAATAAAAAATTAAAATTAAAATTAAAAAAATTAAAAATTAAATGTATAGTACAATATATACCCCACAAAAGAGACATTCAACTACCCTCTCTAGAGATGAATCAATAATATTAATATATAATCAATCACTTATTTCACATGTAAGATGTTATCACATCATTCATTTAATTTTAACTACTAATTAATATTGACAAAGACACTGATTATATAGTTTTTTTAAAAGGTAAATAGCACTTAAGCTCTCATAGTTTGAGCTTTTGTGCAATATAACTCATTTGTACTTTTAAATATCAGTATATAACCCCCTATCGTATTCCAATTTGGTAAATAATTATGCGCATTAGGAAGATGAAGGTTTTGAAAGTATAAGAAAATTTTATGTACTTATATTAAAATACAAGGAAATCATGTGCTATATTAAAAAATATAAGGAGGTAATATATATAAAGTTCAACTGTAGGGGTATTTTTTTAAAAGAGCACCCGAATTATTTTTGTTAATACTAATTGGTATTGCAATTGTACTATTGACATATAAAAAGGTGCCTGAAACTTTTCTAAGATAAAAACACTTTATGTACAAAAAAAAAATCTTTCTGATATACTCAATTTTGAACACCTTCGGTAAAAACTTATATTTGCCACTGACTTTGATGTCGGTCAACATTATCCGACACATTTAGCGAAACAACCCTTTCCACGGGACATGTGTGATTTGTGCTGAATCCCATATCGACACTTTTCTCGGCCTATGACTCAATCAACTACACTCGAGTCAAAATCGATGTCACATTTTAACGGGTTAAAAGAAATGCATAGTACTTTAGTTATTATTACGATTATATTGCAGGGTTTTTTGCAAAATCTACCCCTGTGAAATCTCTAATTGCTAAAAACCCCATCGTGTTAAAATAATTAGCAACGACCCCCCTATGAAAATAAGTCAAAGCCAAAAAAACCCCTAACAGCTCATCGTATGATGCACGCGCGAATTGTGCGTGTAGGAGTGTGTGTTTTTACGTGAAAATTCGAAAATACCCTCGGATTGTTTTGTAAAAAGAAAATCTAATTTGATTTAAATATAAATAATCCAAAACTTTGGATCGAATTGCAATTTTTAAAATTTCTTAAACGAAGAAAAACAAATTGCGTCTTCCCCAAATTATTCTCCACCATTGAATCGCCACGACCACCAACAAACTCCGACGGCCACCACCACCAACAAACTCCGACGACCACCATCACCAACAAACTCCAACGACCACCATCACCAGCAAACTCCGACGACCACCACCACCAGCAAACTCCCACCACCGGCAATCACCTCGTCAAGTTGTCGGCTCCAAACAGAGAGAAACAACATGTCTTCCCCAAAATTCTTCTTCTTCCCATTGAAATCACCACCCCCACCAAACACACAACACCACCTCCGGGCTCCGGCAATCACCCTCTCACGCTGCCGCCGCTACCCCTTCCTTCCACCACCCGCCTCCTCTGCTCTTCTCGCCATAGACACCCTGACCCTCCACCGCCAAATTCTCAAAATCACCGTCCCCCTATCTATCTCCCCCGTCAGCCACCTTTACTTGAGATTTTGATTGTGGCGAGATGTGAGGCATGAATATTGAAGAATCACCATTATTTTTTTCACAGTGTTGGAGAAAATGGAACTCGATCGGAGAAGAAGACATTGGTTTGGGGTTTGTTGCAATTGTTATTTGCGTTTTTATGTTTTCTTTTTTGTTTTTTTTTAAAATATTTCCTTACATTTTTGTAAGGGTAGTTCAGCCATTTCATATAAAGTCAACATTCAATTTCGAAACATGGACTGGTGTGCTTTGAAAAATACAATATAGGGATTTTTTTGCTAATATTTTTAACACGAGGTGTTTTCCACCAATTAGACATAACACAGGGGGTTATGTGCTATTAGCTCTTATATTGCACTATAATTTCAAATCTTTTCAATTTATTTTAAAACTACCTAACTATAGGACTGTACCTTAATAGTTAATACTCCATATAAAATTCGCACAATTAATCTCCACCTAGATATTTAAAATTAGTTATTACTACTTGTTGACTTTTCTAACACCCATCTTTCTATAAGTACAACATACAACATAAAAATAATTTCAAAAAAAAACATAAATTATGAGCTGGAAAAACAGATGCAACATAAAATTGAATTAACGGATAGCCACAATTTTTTTTCAAAAGTAGCGTACAGTATCTCTATTTAATAGTGTACACACACTACACCAATTGCAAGAGATTCCATAATTGATTCCCAAAAAAAAAAAAAAAAAAAAAATGAATTAATCTTCACAAATGGCAATATTCATCATCGAATATCCCGAGTTTTTCTTCATCTTCGTCCCTTTTTTCTTTCTCTACCTCTTCCGCTGCATAAGCGGAAGGTGGAAAAAGAGTTCGTCGAAGCCGACGAACTGGCCGCTGGTCGGGATGCTGCCGGCGGTTGTTCAGAATCTGCACCGCATACACGATTACGCAACCACAGTTCTAACCGAGTGTGGCGGTACTTTCGAGTTCAAAGGCCCCTGGTTCTGCCACGTGGACATGGTTGTCACAAGCGACCCTGCAAACATCCACCACATTTTCAGCAGAAACTTCTCGAACTATCCGAAGGGCCCCGAGTTCCGAAAGATGTTCGAAATCTTGGGGGACGGAATCTTCAACGCCGATTTCGAGTTGTGGGAGCTTCACCGGAGAACCACTCTTTCGATGCTGACTCACCCCGAATTCCCGGATTTCTTGGAGGTCAATGTTTGGCACAAGGTGCAAACCGGCCTCTTGCCGGTTCTCGATTATTTTGCGGAAAACGGAGATTATTTCGATTTGCAGGATGTTTTCCAGCGGTTAACTTTTGATGGTATTTGCAAATTAGTGCTGAACTACGATCCATGCAGCTTGTGTGTCGACTTACCCTACATTCCGTCGGAAAAGGCATTCAACGATGCCATCGAGGCGCTACTGTACCGGCACGTACTTCCCGAGACTATTTGGAAGCTGCTCAAATGGCTGCAGATAGGTACGGAGAGGAAGCTTCTAGAAGCGTGGAAGGCGTTCGACGAATTCATATACCCGCTTATCCCTAATTCTTCGAAAGAAGAAAGCGACGATTACAACATGTTGGCGTCTTTTCGAAAGGCGTACGAAGAGAAATTATCGACCGGTTTGAGTACTACTACAACAACTACGGACTTTCTGAGGGACACTGCGTTGAGTTTGATGCTTGCAGGTCGAGATACAACGAGTACTTGTCTGACGTGGCTTTTCTGGCTAATCGCTACGAACCCTTCAACCGAAACGAAGATTCTTGAAGAAATCGAGACCGAATTAAATCTTCATCAAGAAGACAAGAAATGGAGATCGTTCAGTGTGGAAGAGTCGCGAAAGTTGATTTATCTACACGGGGCTTTGTGCGAGTCTTTGAGGCTATTCCCTCCGGTGGCTTTGGAGCATAAAGCTCCGATTGAACCCGACATTCTTCCGAGCGGTAATCAACTAAAACCGAATACTAAAGTGATAGTTTCGTTCTATTCGACCGGAAGAATGGAGTCGGTGTGGGGAAAAGATTGCTTGGAGTTCAAGCCAGAGAGATGGATTTCGGATAGTGGCAGGACAAAGCACGAGCCTTCTTACAAGTTTCCGGCATTTAATGCCGGACCAAGAACTTGTCTCGGCAAAGAGATGGCGTTCGCTCAAATGAAAATGGTGGCGGCTACGATTATATATCGTTACAAGATTGAGCTTCTGGAAGGTCGTGGTTATCCGGTTGTTTCTCCTCGTGACTCCATTATACTACAAGCCAAACATGGATTGAAGGTCAGGTTATCTACAAGAAATTATTAATGTCTGATTAACTAAAGAAGCTGTCGAATTTGGTGTTTTGTTTTAAAATCAAGATTTGGTGTCTTAGCATTGTAAATTATGGTGTAAGAGATTTATAATTGATGTAAGGGCAAATTATAACCTTGAGCCATATGCTGAAATTACGAAAAAGTCTCTCATGTTTGGGTAATTACAACTACCCCTCAATTATGTATTGTGATATGTCAAACTTATCTACTGATGAAGGAGGGTTTAAGGCAATACACAATTGAACGAGTGGTTGTGCTTATCAAAAAACGAGCGATTTCTTTTCGTAATTTCAGCTTATTTCGAGAGTGACCGTAATTTGTCCGGAATAGTAATGTTTGTGGTCGGTGATTGTGTGGTGTGAAACGTTTCAAGATAAAGGCACATGTGATTGATTGCCTTTTACATCAGTATTTCAGTTCTATGAATATTTGCTTGAGATTTTGAATTCAAGTTCGAAGTGCATTATTACATTTTTATTTATTAGTATTAAAAATTAAAATTATATTCGTAATTGATATTGTCAGAAAAGCTGATTCGGCATATTGGGCTCGGCCCAATATTTATTATTTTTAGCCCAACCGAAAGCAAACCCATGTAATTCAAATTAAGCAGGAAACTCCATCATACTAAAGTTAAAAAAATGGTAACTCCCAACGTTCCTAAACAATATCCGTTTTTCAAATTTGCACAAATGTCAAGAAATTTAATAAACATGTCTTGATTTTAGGAAAATCAGTATTGTAGACTAAAATGTCCTTATTTACTAGTTAATTTAAAGAGAGTGTTGAACAGTTAATAAGATGACACAACGTTGTAATTCTAAAAAAAATCTCAAAAGTGACAAATACTGTGAAACGGGGATGGTGAAGGGTTCATATCATAATCGCAAAGGATTATTGTCTCTCTAGCTAACCATGTCTTGCTGCAATAACTTCCTCAATTATTCATTCATATCTGCCCACTCAAATGTTTTTTGAGCATTTTTCATATTTTTATTTTTCAATAATCCTAATAATTTGCTTATTGTAAAGCACGATAATTATTTATTTATTTATTAAGTAACTTAATTATGCATAGGAATTGTTTTATTTGATCAAAAAAATGTAATTATATGTGTACTAATAATTTATGACATTAGTGCGTAACAAGGGATAATTAACAATTATAGTGGGGAATATGTTAATTAATTAGCATATCTTATTGAAAATTTGTGAAATTATTATTTGTACACAACTAATATTCATTAACTATACGAGTCATGCTAATTAGTTATATCCAGCCTAAATTGCAGTTTCCTTACCTAAATGTGAGGCATTGCACTTAATTTTTGCCCAACTGCTGCCAATTTTTGATATCGATCGACAAGAGAGATCGTAAACGTTTTCGTTTTATTATAAAGGCAACGGATTGATAACATGCAAACATATTGTAAAAACACGAAAAATCCAAATCCAAGCTCTAATGGCCATCTTTGAATACCCTGATCTTTTCTTGTTTATCCTCACCATAATTATTTTACTTTTTGTTTGGCGTACTAAAATCCGGAAAAAAACCTCGTTGCCCACGAACTGGCCACTGGTCGGAATGCTGCCGGCGATTCTTCAGAACTGCCACTGGATCCACGCCTATTTCACGGAGATTCTCATTGATCCGCGGCACATTTATTCCCCGGGTTTTCAACATGGATATGTTGGTTACTTGTGACCCCTAAAAATATCCACCATATTTTCAGC